TTTGCATGTTTTAGTTAAAGCAAGCACAATCTCAAGTCAAAGGCCTCAATCTTAAGGATGTTTTGGGTTTTTTAAGACTTTGCATTTACGGTATTCAGTTTACAAAGAAAGTTAGCAAGCTTTAAAGCTTAATGCCAATCCTACCTAACTTCCTTAAAATATTCATGTACTTTGGAAAATGCTAAACTGAAAAATGGGGTTCATTCAGGTGTGAAGCGAAAACCCACTTTGTTCACTTTGTCTCTCAGTAATGGGGACATTCTTGCTAGTCAGCGCCTGGCAACTGACTTATCGTGGAAGTGACATCAAAAGCAAGAATTGGTTCCTCCATCCCCCGGCATAGGGGAAGTTACTTTGCTTATAGGCAAAAGCGACAAGTCCGTTGTTGAGTGGTAGTGCATTGAAGGATGATGAGAGAAAATTCCCAGATTTTGTATGGTGATAAAACCCAATGTTCTTTGGTTAATTTTGTAAAGCTATGCATTCAAGAGGTCTTGGTTGTGCCCTAAGATACATCCATTGAAGAGCAACTCTTAAAGATGAGTTCTTTGATATCCTTAATTTACTATCCTACTGGCTGGAAGTGGGAGTGCTAGTGGAGGTAGTTGGTTGGAATGACTACGACGTGATATGCATGATCGAGTTTGACTGCGGTAGTATGTTGCCCTCCGGGGCATTCGCAGGTACTCTGAAGGACCTAATGTGAGATTTGGCTGTTATTGAAGATGAGCATCATTTGGCAATGGCCTCATCATCGCAGCATTTTTTGCTTCCCTTAAACTTCCACGGATTGCGATGCCTCACGGATTCTAAAGCTCGGCACTTTGTCAAACAAGTGGACCCCAGACTGTCTCTCTTCTCACTGGTTCCACTCCCCTGCCTTTTCAATGTGCTTCTTTGTGATGGTACACTGAAACGACTTTTTACTTTCCCTCAGTATGCTTGGTCTGTAGCTTTAAACGAGTGAAATGCAGCCTTCTTGCACTGCGTTTTGTGAAACAGCCGCAAACCTTCCCACGAGGATGATGAAACCAATCACCATTAGCGTGCAAACGGAACAAAAGTTGAATTTTGCTCTTACGATACGATAATGGGTGTCGTGAGTCAACGATTACAGCATAAAACTCGCCAAAATGCAAAAATTCGGCAGGGAAGTCTGGCTCTATCACTTAGGAATAGTTGGTTTTAATGTACAAACCATTAGAGTTGATATGTAATGCTCGTTCTTAGGGGCCGTTTCGGTGCTACAGATGTTGATTGAAGTAACAACCCTTTCAGCTCGCCAGAAGCTGCTAGCAACTTGCCATGCTATTGCATGAAATGTCTTAATTTTAAAATGAGCTCAGCACGCTCTCATTTTCGTTGTTGTGTGGCAGCAGACACGTATTCGCACGATATACCCGTTGAATGGATCTTTGACATCCGAAGAAATTCTACGAATGACTTCTTTCATAGCTTGCCGCATTGCTTGTTGTACAACAACAACCCAAAGGGCGGATTTGCTATGACAATGAGATACAATGTGAGAACAAAAGCGGAACGCATCTTTATTCAAGACCCAAAGTTACAGTCATGGCTGAAAAGTCGTGAGTGAGATTTCGGAGAGTAGTTTGAGTAAGCGACCTTGTATTATGCTCTTTGGCACAAAACATCAAGAAGTGGCACTTCCATGTTTGGCATTTTTAAATGGACTCATTGCTGATCACGTGATGCCCGCTAGCCCATACTGTCCGAAGGCAGTAATGCACATATCCACCTTGCGACTAACTTGGCGATTAAGTAGCATTTACTTTACAACATTTTTCGATGTGGAAATCAATTTCACAGAATGACCCTTTTCAGAGTTCTGCACTCAGTGTTTCTGCGCAAAAAGTGCTTTCAAATAGTAGCAATCCCAAGCGCTTACTCAAAGTTGTTTGTCACATAGAAAACAAGGGACTGATGCCCACAAAATGTTCACACTTAACATGCAAAATGGTAGTGTTTTCGCTCTTCTCAGGTTCCCTCAATTCGTGGAACCAGGCAACCCTTTAGTAAAGTATTCAAGAGGTAACAATTTCGTATTATATCCACGTCTGCTTTCTTGACGTTCTTTCAGCGCACAACACATACACCTGGCCTGATGTAAGTTTTGGGGTAAAATAGGTTTCTCATTATGTGATTCCATTAAGAAAGCGTATTTGCACAATCATTAGCACGACAATTATTATCCACCGACTATTAGGATTGCGTGACATCTGTCTTGCACCAAAGAAGCGGATGTAGGGTTTTTGTCGATGCTTCAAAATAGCGACAGCCATAACTGCAGAGATTAGGTGAATACGACCTGTTTGCCCTCTGGTTGCCTAGGCGACAGGCCTAGGCATGCCCGCCAACACAATTGACGGGGTCTGTTTCGTACGGTGGATCCAATGTTTGCCATTTGTAGAGAACAAATTTGTTTTAACCCTAGGGCACTGAATAGAACAGTTTAGTCTCAATTCCCTCATACTTTGCCGAAGGATTAAGGTTTTGTATCTTGCCTGAACATGTTTTATGGGTACCATCAAAGTGTCTCTGTGTCTCACACGAAGGAAAAGACATAAAAGACACCTGACATCACTTTATTCTTTTCAAAAGGCTTCACAATAAGAAATATGGCTCCTGTAAGGGCTAACCTTATGCCTTTGGTTATATTTATGCGCATGAGATGGGCAGGAAATGCCGAGTATGCAGCGCCAATCGAAAGGGAATCGACCAAGTCATTGCACTGACTGAGAACAAGAAGGCCAGAGGCGTAGGTGCAAATCCATTTCACCGAATGCACCTAACTTGGCTTTGGATAATAAGGCAGAGTTGTGATTGATCTAGCCGAAAAATTCAATGCCTAGAGTGACAATAACATCAACAGAATGGGTCTAGAGGATGCAGTACTCTTCATTAACTGAAGAAAGCTAAAAGCGACTTGTTACGGAGGCATATCTGAAATTATCCAAGGGACAGTTCGCTGCAGCATCAAATTGTGTATTGAGTTGCGGTATTCAATCCCATCTGCCTTATTAGTAATGCAATCTACTCCGGAAGGGTAAGATCTTGTCAAATGGAAATACGAGTTTAAGCAGAGGAGTTAATTAAAGTGTCAAGATAGCAGTCGAAGTAGAGTCCTATTGCACCATGTTGTTTAAGCTTCGAAGTGTCCATTAATTATCCTAACTGTTTCGGCTAATTTCAGAATGCACTCATTGTTACCAAATACAAACGCATTCAGATACATGTGATTTGAAACAATTCTTTAGTCGTACAATTATGAAACTAGCCGCCGTTACTCACGGAATGCAATCGCATCAGTAGTAAGAGAAGATGCACAACACTAGACTTTTTGAGCAAGGAAAATTAATGAACGAAACATTAGCAATGAAGATGAAAATGTAGTGTTTAGTCGAGACATTCCAAATGCATTTGAGTGTGAACGATTTCAGCCCTACCTTGATCCATTCAAGAGGGTCTAGAATACGAAATCGGCTGTCGGATGTACATGCCTGGCTGGTGTGAGTGAATAATTAGGTATGCAAGCACTCCTGCCATTGCACAACAGAGGGTCCCATGCAGGATGTCAAGCCCCGAGAACCTAACTACAAATTAGAAAATTTAATTTTTATCCGAGACTAGTTGAAGAGAGTGAGAGTGAGAGTGCAAACACACAAGGAGCTACGGAAAGCTACCACGATGGCAGCACGAGCAGTGAGTTTTAGATTTTATTAAAAAATCAGCAAAATGAGGACGAACGCAAGCCCGCTTCCAAGTACAGGTTCAGTGGAACTGATGAGCATGACTGCAGAGCCAACCACTCTATCGGCAAGGCGTCAATACAGCGGCAAAACAGTCCAGCTTGGAACGCACACTTCCTTTTGAACTGAATGTCTTTCTGAGTGAGAGACTGCATAGCAAGTGGGAGAAGTGGGAGAATGCGGTTGCTACGTAATAGATACCAGTTTTAAGGTTTCCCACTTTCTAAATTCTTTTAACTTCATTACTGCAAAAACTAAAACCCTGCCCTACGAGACGGAAGAAGGAAACAAATGCATCAGAAGGAAAGACTTTGGTTTTATTAATTCAAGGTAAAGGAAAAGTGTATTAATGCATATGCTGTTAATATAACGCGCGGTTTATACTCTACTACGCATTCAAAGTACAATAGTGATCAGAGTATATCGCTTTCACTAAATGCGATATGGAGCATTAACAAAGAGTCCAAAAAACAAACAGAAAAAGTCCAAGAACAAAGTATCTGAATGTAAATTTACATCCCTAATACACTTCCATCTAGGTACTAAGAAATGTGGCAACAGCTAGTGGAATTTCCACCACGGCCTTTTTGGGACTTCCACAAACTCCTCCTGAGTCGGAAATGCGAGATAGCACCACTTCTGACGCCGCCTCCATCGTACAAAGGGTAGAACTTCCCTTTGGAAATAGCAAGAAATCGAGTAGGCTTTAAAGAACTCTCTTCAGGAATGGGAGGCGGAGGTGATGGAAGTGCAGGTGGAAGGTTGCAATCTATCTTCGTAATGGTAGCAGTAGCAGTTGTGGTGGTAGTAGAGAGGGAGTTATTGGAAGAAGGGATGTAGAAGAAGGAGTTCGCCACAGGCATGGAATCGGTTGACGCCGATGAGGTTGGATAACGTGTGTCTCCGTTCGGAGTTGGAGAGTTTTTAAGGAGATGCGCCTTGAATGCAGTAGTTGAAGGAGCAGTGGCTATTCGGGGAGGTGGAGAGGCAGAGGATTGTCGTAGAGCAGGTTGGGGAGCGTTAATCCGAGGTCGCCGCAAAGAAGCGTTCGCCGACACAGACATGCCTGACTGATTTACCAGGGTCAGACTCCGCACCAAGGGTGAGGTGGAGGGTGGTGGAGGAAGTCCGTCAAAACTGGAACCAGTCGAGATTCGAGGAAATCCACCCGTCCGGCGCCGCGACTGCATTTGCAGCTCATAGGTGCCCCTAAGAACATCTACCACGTGGCGTGAATCCCGGAGACTACTAGCCAAGGACGCTAGTGAGAAATTCGACGAAGTGAGACCATTCTGCTGTCGATTCAATGTGCGTACGTATGTTGGCGGTGCAGCACACCAGATCGCAGATAAACGGTGACTGTTAAGGATAGCCGGTGAAGTTTTTGGAGTGAGAGAGGAATGTGGAGACGATGGTTTCAATTCATCTTCATCTTTGGAAGGACTATGAGTCTTGTTTTCATCCTCTTCTTCTCGAATGGGAGCGCAGACATCTGTGGCGACAGGAGGTTTGATAAAGAGATGATCAAGAATGTTGGGAGCAGATTGGCAAGAACCACTGAATCTAGCATTGGAGGTATCACCCTCCTGAGGCGGTGGCGTCTCTTCCAAAGCCGACATAGGAAGTTCAAGGATGGGCTTTGGTAGATCACGATCGGGTGCCTCAACGACAGAGCGGCCGGTAGTGAAGTTAAGACTCATCCGAAGGAGGCTCAAATGAGCAGATGCGCTGTTGTTACCTTGTCCTAAGACGGAAAAGCCGGGTGGACCGCTCCGTCGTCGGTTGTCACGCACAGTGGATGTGTTAGCAGGCCGAATGAAATTGTTAGGAGTATGTCGTGAGGTGAGAAACAGATTCCCTGCTCCTGATGATGACTGCCGCCACCTTCGATCTACAGCTGGCCACATGTTGACACCGCTGAGAGGCCGTGAAGAAGTGGCGCTGAAACTTGCCGCTGAACCAGAGTAAAACTTTCTTGTGGACCAAGGAGGACTGCGTGCACGTGGCATGGAACTTCGATTCGCGTAAATGGAGCTCATGGACTTCCTGTTGACGGAGGTCTGACGCGGCTGTTTAATAGCAGTAAGAAAGGGATTCGGAGGAGGTTTAGGCAGTCCCTCCTCATTTTCAGACGGAACCTTCCACTCAACATCCTCCTCGGCTATATAATCAAGCAACTGGGGACTACTTTTAACAGAGATCAACGGACGCAAAGAGGGTCGAGCAGAACGGAAGTTACGAGACATGAGTAAAGAAGAGACCGACCGACGACCAGTGTCTCCGACTCCAGCATTTAACGAGGTCTCCGAAGCGACTCTTTCAGATAGATCCGCTCTCGAGTTTGGCCGGGTAAAATACTTTGCCGGTTCCAGGTCTAGCGCATGTAGATCTGAAGCCGCACCGACATCATTAGTCTCAAGTTCCGATAGTAGTTCAGAACGAACGCAAGCGAGACTGGCAACAGCCTCAAATTCCTCCTGCTCCTCATGAAGAAGGGCTTCATCAGATGTTTCGTTAAAGTTGATCTCATCTGCAAGTCTGTGCTCCATACTACACACCCCAACAGCAGAAACAGGTGCCTCCTCATCATTCTCCTCCTCATCCTCGAGGATCATAGAAAAACGCCGAAGCCGCTCCTCAGCACCAGAGGCTGCCAGTGAGGCAGAGATTGATTTTGGAAGGACCGCCGATCGGGTCTGAGACTTTTCAGACTGCTCAACAGCAGGCTGAAGTTGTGTTTTCTGCTGTAGGTTCAGAGTTTGTTCAATAGCCTTTGCTTGAGCTGAAAGAAGTTTGTATTCCTCTATGTAGTTCCTTTTCAGCTTTCGCTCGGCCAGAAGAAAATATGTTGCCGAAATATGGGAGTACTCGTTACGATCAAGAGCCTGTTGAATCTCATCCACTGTAGCAAGTCCACCAGACGCCATTTTATTCAAAATCTCCATGTGATCTTCGAACTGAAGATGCTCTTGTGAGATTAGGGGGACTGAAAATAGACCGATTGGAAGCTCTTCACTAGCCATTTGCAGCCACTCGTCCTGAAGGACCTCCTCCAATGTAGCACGTTTGGCCGGATCGCGGATGAGCAGGCGTGAAATGAGTGAACAGCACTGAGGCGACAAGTGAGGTGGCAGGTGATACTCGCAATCCATGATTTTCGTTAGTGTCTCACTATCATTCGCCTCCTCAAAAGGCAAGCGACCACAGACAAGCATGAATAGAATTACGCCTAATGACCATATATCGACCTTGGGAGCGTCGTACTTAGTACCAAGGAGTATTTCTGGAGCGGAATAGGCTAAAGAACCACAGAATGTATCTAATTGCTTTCCAGGGACAAATTGATTGCTGAAACCAAAATCAGTCAACTTAACAACACCCAGTTGTTCAAAGAAGACAACATTTTCGGGTTTAAGATCGCGATGGACAACATGGAGATTGTGACAGTAGGAAATAGCTGTAACAATTTGTCGGAAGTAGCGCTTTGCCAATTTCTCGGAGAGTCCATGCTCATGCTTCATGATGTAGTCATAGAGGTCACCTCCATCTCCCAGTTCTAGGATGAGGTAGAGTTTATTTACAGTATCAATGACCTCGTAAAGTCGAACCACGTTGGGGTGCTGCACAAGTTTCATGCAGACGACCTCCTGAAAGAGATGCTCTCGGGAGGGTGCGTCCAACTTCGTTTTGTCAATCACTTTGACTGCAACTTTTTCACCAGTAAAGACGTGCTGTGCGACCTTGACGACTGCGTAGTGACCCCGGCCTATAGTCGGTCCGAGGTCATAGAGACCTGCGACCTTCGGTTCAATCGCATTGGACTCCTCAAAAAAGCGCTGATAGATGGACATGTGCTGAGGAGAAAACGTAAATAAGACTAGATAAGTGGCGTTTTGAACAAGTCGAAGCATTGTTTGGTGGAATTTTACGCAATATGATTTGTGTCACAAAAAAATAATGTAGATACACAACTAAAAATGGGGAATCGGGACGATTTACGGTTAGTATTGTTACACTAGCTAAATTAAATCAAAGCCACACTTACTGAATGTCCCATTTACCATCAAATTTGTTTTGATGAGGCACAAACAAGATGACAAAAGTTATGAAAATAAAAAATAGAGTTGGTGAGGAGAAACTAAACAATAAACATGCCCACATTAGTAACCTCAAACCGTGCAGTGGAAACTAGCGTATGCAACAACAACTTAATGTCGGCTTCGTGTACATTGGTAAAGTAAAAAATGGAGACTGTTGGTCGGGAAATCGCAGTACAAAAGTAGTCACCAGTAGTGTTTTGATCAATTTCCGGATTCCCATCGACTACCGTGAATCGAAAACCCAAAGGTAGGAGGAAGAAACTTCCTGTCTCATATCTTACACGAGAATAGTGGAACAAGGAAAAGGAGGATTGGAGAATGTCCGAGATCTGGTTGAGACAGTTGAAAATGTTTCGCGAATGGTGAGTAAAAACATAAGTATGGCGCAAAAGGCCAACCGCCTATTGAAGATTACGCAAAAAGAATAAATGTTCTCAAAAATACCGCAAACGCAATGATTAATGAAGACAAATTTTGCGACGCAAATTTAAAGGCCAGTGGAATATTAACATTCCCTGCACTGCGATAAGCTCCGAGTATGTAGAAATGCGCTTCTTAAGTGCCGACGGCATTTGATGAAACCTAAGGTGTAAAAAGCGACTATAAACAGGATGTGAAGAATGGCAATTAGTGAAAGCTAGCCGGATACTTGAGTTTTACGGGAAAATAAAGCCGAAAGCTTGAATCGAGGCTTTGGAGACGAAGAATTAGACACACATTCCTCGTGGGCTTCGAAACAGTTAACGCGCACGTTTCAGGGGTGGCACGAGTCGAAAGGTGAATCATGCGAAGTCATTACCACCGTTTTTCGACCTATCATAGCTTCGTTTTTGTGCTACTACGGCACCAAAATCAGAGATAACTTTGCGGATAAGGTCACAGAGCGTCTTGTTTATTCATTTCTTCATCCAGGTCAACGTTTTTTTTGGTGGAAAGCGTAGGCCAAGTAAGAAATGCAATCGGTATTAGAAACTCGCTCAGCACATATTTAAACACCAAAAGGTGGATGCTTTTTGATATTTTCTGAGTGATTAGCCAAAAGCGATAAGAACAGATCAATCACGGCTTGGGTTTGCTTTTAACCTATTGCTAGCAATTCGTACTTTCTAATACATACAAGAGAAGAGTGATAGCCCACCAGGCTTAGGTAAGTAGAACTATGCGATAATTGACAGAGCATGCATTCACCCGTGTCTTCAAACCAAATTCCTGTGACGAAAAGGCAGAATTTATGCATGAAGGATGAGAGAATAATGTTACCTTGACGACAGCGGCAGGTTTCGACCTCCAGTTAAAACTGAATGCAGATTACACCGGGTGCGGCAAGTTCCATAATTGAGGTAAAGGGGGGCGCTAAGACCAACAGAGGAAGACTATGAGGAGAGACACTTATATTTCAAGCACAAAATTGCCTATCAGGAAATATGGCTTGTTTAATGAAGTGAGAAGTGAAACCTAACCATTACTTGTCTGCTCACTAGGCGGCAACTTCTATCGATACAGTACGGAAGTGAGTCAACAAACAAGTCTTTGAATTACGGTTAACTCAGCGAGCTAGCAATGCACACTGAAACCTTAGGCAAAAAAGAATTGATGAAAGTCTTCCCAAAAATACTGCTTTTTACCATAGTTAACACGAATTAAATTTATTGTGCTATATTTAGCAGCGAAAAGAATTGGCACAGTAAACAACAGCAGTCGTGGCTGGTGAAAAAACTGGCTAGGGAATACAGTGCGTAGTCCTGGATGCTAAAAATCGGATAATCGAGCGATCGCTGTGATGCCAGTAAAGATTAACCCCTTAAGATGGCTCCCAACTCTTGTCATGACCCTTCACCATCAAAAGTCTATTAAGAATGAGATAATACCCTCTGAAGGTAATGCATCATCTGGTTCAAGCCTAATTCATTGAATCTTAATCAGCTAGACGACAGTGCGCAAGACTTCACCGCCTTAAAGCAAAGGTGAGAAATATACTGCGACACGATAGTCGATGAGTGGAACAATTTCTGCAGTTAGAGTCGCATCGCTACTAGTCTGCCAAACTTGTTGTTCATCTGCGTGATGCTTGCTGCGTTAACTTTTACCCACAAAACGCATGGTCTAATTCAATACAACCCACTACACTTTTAAGATCAGAACATTTAAAATTGCAAATGTAACGACAAACTTGTATCAAGTGCAATTGCTCACTTCGGTTTGGTTGGGAGATTAGGGATCCGTCACCCGTTTGCACCACCTGAATCCCTGAAACTTTTGATGCCTGACCTGAGGCTTCTAGCATAAACAATTCTGGTTCAGTTTCAAGTGATCCCAGGCTAGCAAAACACTGGGGCGCCGAGTGACACACCATTTGTGCACACCCTCAGTTAATTGCCGCTTAAAAAGGATAGCGCTTTGCAATTACATAAACACGCAAGCACACACCTACCCATCAACCTGCTTTGTCCATATGCGCCCAAGCATGTCCATACTTAATTAGTTGTTTATTTTCAATCCTGAAGGCACATCGTATGGTGCAGTTCGTAATGACCATTCAAGTGTTCGAGGTGTGAGTGCTACCCAGAAGTCTTACACAAGGCACAAATTGAATGAACACAATTTTCACATGCCCAAAATATTTGGTCAAACACTTCCACTTACCAATACTAGCATTCATCAAAACACAAATCTGCATTATAATGGAAGAGAATTCAAAAGAATGCTTAAATAGGTAGTGTGCATTTGGCATGCTCAAAACGTTGGACAAGAAAGGACCGAAAAAAATTTGTTGAGGCACATCGAGTAACCGAAGGGGGTAAAGTGGAACAGAAGAATACTCAGAAAAGTCAATGTAAGCTCAATTCTTGTAAATGCCACATAAATGGTACCTTAGGTAATCACATGTGTGCCAAGCCCAAAAATGTAGTGCCATGCTCTAAGGAAAATCAAGGCATTCTACATTTGCCGTGCAATAAAAAATAGGTCGAGGAGGCCGAAGTCTAGCATAGCCGTTAATAGATGTCGGTCTAGAACATGTTCGCACTGACAGAGGGGACGGGCTTCGATACAACCAAGATACTGTCTTAAAGAGACCTAGCAGTTGGTAGATTGAGGTATCGGAAACAAACTACCAGTGTTAGCGCATTGACACCTCAAGGAAAGGCAGGCAGACGCGCGCACATTCTTGTCACGTGACCGCAAGCGTTGTTGCCCGGTTGTAAGTGGCTACGCCTCTCTAGCAGTCAGTATCGAGACTATTTAGTTGCAGTTCAGGACCAATGTTAAACCAAAATTAAGTTTGTGCCGTAAAACGATTCAATTCACCAAAACACCAGAAGGATACGTCACAAAGTGAAGTAACATGCTAATTGAACTTTTTAAAAGGTGCCTGGATGACCCTAAGTTCTTGAGACGAATGAATTGAGTCACCTATTGCGTTCTAAGGGGGGAAGAGAATGACACGTACTAGAGGTAGTGAGTAATTCGGGAATTCCTTCTCCAGATATTTGAGCAACAAGCACCGTTTGGGTTGGACTTTGAAAAAATGCAATACGTGTGATATCAAGAGAAAAACTAATCGTTGAAAGCATCGAGCATCCAGCCAACAGTAAGTGAGTGAATGATGGCCATAAAAGGACGAAGCTTTCAAAGGTAGAAGGCTAGACGTGTCAACATGCAGATGTGAAGTTGCAATAAGTTCATTAAAATACCAGAAATGAACTGAAGTAATAATTCCATCCACATGCATAAGGGGGCATTGGTCAGTTCACTCGTCCCCAAAGTAGAGTGGGGCATTTAAGGATAAGGAACCAGCAAAGTTGGTAACACTGCATTGCAATGCTGAAAACATCCCTTACATGAGCTCTCCGCAAGATGGGAAAACGGAAAGACATACTCTGTGATTCATGCCAGAAAAGAAAGACTACGCACCAATTGTTGGCACATGTCGCAAGACGAGACAGAGCCAGCGCAAGGGGTAGCTGAAACGCCCTCGAAAGCTGCCATATATCCCTTTGCATGCACTAGCCAGTAAGATACAAAGTCCCGCGAAAAAATTAAGCGCGTTAACTTTACTTGAGAATTCGGTTGTTAGGTACAAAGGTAGAGATGCATGGATGTTTGAGAAACTAGCAATTTAGTGTATGCAAGGATCCCACTAACGTAGGTAACCACAACGGAACTGCCAAATGAAATGGACCACTTAGCAAACAAAAAACCACAAATTAACTAAGTTAGGGAGGTTGGGTGGGATCAGTGTGAAATAGAAGTATCTGAAAACAGCAAAGTGGGCAAAGGCAAAAGGAAACACCTGCATGAAAAGGAGAAAGTGTCTGAGATCGCGACAAATCCACAAAAAAGGGCAATGACTTACAAAAAATTTGGCAGACTTGATAGACCTATAACCTTGGCATCGGCGAGAAAAGATCCAGGTCTACAAGAAAACAGAACGTTAGCATTTGCCCCCGCCAACTCAGCCTAATGAAGGAGTACCCCTCCTAAAAATGTTTATTTTGCTGATCAAAGGACTTCGTTAATTTGTGTCAAGATAGTCTAAGCCAGAGAACAAAAAGTACCATAAATATGATTTAATTCCTTAAAGTCTCCAAGCGAAATGCCATGAGTTTATTCAATAAAACCCGTTTTATGCTGAGTCGCTATCCAGTGCAAACGAAATCAGAGCCTAAAAACAACAACGAAGAGTGTGGAAAGATATACAGTCCAGCCTCCATCAAATTATCATGTAGAGCAGATAACGCTTGGCTGCGCAA